TTATATGAGGTATAGTCTAAACTTTTTGAAGGGGGGTTATATAGGGGACTATATAGGGAAGCATTATTGGGGTTATTAAGGGGGATATTAGGGGTTTAGACTGTAGCTCATATAGGTTGTTCTCAAAATGATGGTGTCTTTTGGTTCTAGATGCACCTAATATTTAGGACCCTACCGTTCGGAACTACCCATATGATGATCCCAAGGGTTAAGAGCCCATAGCCCTAAACCCTAAATCCTAATTAAGCCTTAAATCCTAAGCCCTAAGCCCTAAACCCTAAACCTATACTATCAAGGGTTGTTAGGAGAGACCCCTAGAAGGGACCCCTAATCCCATTACCTTATATAACCCTTAGAAAGGCTATATACCGCCTATATAACCAGGTAGTACCCATAGTACCCCCAATACGCTACAAGGGTCCCCATCAAGGGTCCCTCCTAAAGCCCCTTGATACTAGGGGCCCATAGTTCCAACCTTGGACTCCTTCGCAGGAACAGGATGAGGTGGAGTTCGACCCACCTCGCTTCTTTCAGACTGACCTGGAGTCGCACAGGTCCTACCGTTTTGATACTTCAAACAGGGAGTTCGGGATTAGGTTAGGGTCCCATTTTTGGTACCCCTACATATTAGGTGCTGTAATATAACCTATAAACGACATGGACCTGTAATTTAGAGAACTGCCCATTTAGGGTTTGGGATTTAGTGTTTAGGGTTTCGGGTATGGAGTTCTTATAGTAGGGACTACAGTATTTGATTTGTTTGCATCAAGGTTTGAAGGGCTTAGGGTTTGGGATTCAGGGCTTGGCATTTTTCATGCCAAAAACTTCGCGTGACATTAGTATGCTATCAACATAGTAACATAATTCTCAGGGTAGAAGGAGCAGAGGGTGATGCAGTTTTTTTGTATCAACCGCATTTTCGAGTGCCGTGTTCTAAACTTGTGCTGCAATATCTCGTTATCTCTGTTATCTGAGACCCTGAACACTCAACGAGAAAACCCTAAACGCTAAATCCCAAATCAGTTCCTGGACTTTCGACTTCCACGTTTGCGATGCCTACGGCACTGTGATCGGTTGCGCCAAGATCGGAGTCGGCGATCTTGCTAGCAGCCGGGCTCATTTCCAAGGGTTTAGGGTTTGTGGTTTAGGGGTTTAGGGCTTTAGGGTGTAGGGTTTAGGGAGTATACTACTACAGGGAGTAGAAAGGGATATGGGAAAATATTCAGCTACTCTTTAGAGTTGAGGGCTTCCCAAAAATTTATAGGGTACAGTGTTGGGGGTCCCTAGAAAATTGATTACAGCATTTGGGGTCTATATTGGGGTCCCCCTATTTTGGGAAAGTATCAACTGCTTGCCGTGATTGAGATCTCTACGCATGCTGCAACTTGAACTCTAAACCCTCAACTTTAAATCCTAAACCCAAAATCCTAAACCCTAAACCCTAACCTGTCTTCTGCATCACAGAAAAACTGCTGAGGAAAGCGCGTTTGGCAGCTGCTTTTGCAAGATCCTTCCGCGCACAACCCTTTGTATGTGCCATGGCACTTAATTATTTCAGAGTTTAGGGTTCAGGGTTTAGAGTTTAGAGCGAGTAAGGAATAATTAAAGGAATATATAATCCCACCATACCCTATTTTACTGTGGTAGTTTCCATTTTATTTTCCATTGTACCTATGTAATCCGTATACAATATATTCCTACTAACCCTAAACCCTCTATATACATATATATGTAAATCTCTCTTCTCTTCTTCCCTACTAACCCCCAGGAAGATTAAACACGTGCAGGGTTGTTTGCAACCATGACTGACTCATGTGAGCTATAATCTAAACGCCTTACAGGTGGAGTATATAGGGGGTAATATAGGGGACTATTATAGCGCTTATTAAGGGGAATACTAGGAGTTTAGACTACTACATCGTCGTTTGTGCATGAACTTGGCCTAACAGGTGGACAGTCTATTCATAGAAGGCTGCCGGCTCCCAAAATGGGTGGGCCCCAATATAGACCCTTAACTACTATCATCTAGGGACCCCAAGAAGGTACGCCAAATTATGGGAACCCTAAACTCTAAACCCAACTCTAAACCCTAAACCCTAAATAGTAGCTTCCATTTTCTGTTCCAATCTCCCTATGTAACCCTAAACCCCTTAACCCTAGTAGTTTCCACTTAGTTTCAAGTACGAGCAAAGTTTGCGGGCTCTCTTTGTATTGGTGTCTTGGCCCCTAAGATCATGGCATGGTCGATGTAGGGCTGGGCTACGTCTTTTGGTTTAGGGTTGGGGGTTTGGGGTTAGGGTTGAGAGTTTGGGGTTAGGGTTTAGGGGTTTAGGGTTCAGGGTTTGGTTTAGGGTTCTGGGGTTTAGGGTTTAGGATCCACGCCAGGTGCGTTATGCTAAACCCCGAGCCCTAAGCCGCGATCTCTTTGAAACGCCATGATGTGGGCATTGCACTGGAGGCCTCAGATGTCAAGCATAGCCAAGAAGCTCGCCGAATAACACGCCGTGGTGAGGTGCGACAGCTAATACAGGGTTGCTACTTGAAGGGTCAGGGGGACTTAGTCATAATGGAGAAGAGCATGGAAACTGCTATATACAGGGTTTAGGGTTTAGAGTCAGGGGGACTTAGTAACGAGGTAAATAATGGGTATAGTTGGGTTACTATATGGGCTATACGGGCTATTAGCCTGCTTACGAAGTCCCCCTGACCGCCCGAGTAAGGAGCTTAAACCAAATTTCTATGATAAGGAAAGCCTAATATACGCTATGTGCCCATAATATGGTACTGCAAGATAAGTTCTTTGACAGCAACACAGAATAGTGGTAATAGAATTTTGGTCATGGTAGTAATTATAGTGACAGACAGCTCTTGTAGTAATAGAAAGTAGTACGAGTAGTGATAATAGTAATCATCGTAGAAATGGCACAACAGTAGGAATAGTAATAATGGAAGAAGAAGAAGTAGTAGTAGTACTACTAGTACTAGTACTAGTACTAGTAGTAGTAGTAGTAGCAATACAAATACTAGGAATAATAGCGAGAAAGTAGTGGGCAACCGGCCCCACACAGCAACAGCTTGAACCTAAACCCAGGACAAGCTTCAACTTGCTCCTTTGCAGGTGGTACGGCGTCCCACGTTCCTCCTACTTGCAGTGGAAAAAGTTGGTGGGGTCATTGAAGAGGACGGGGTTTAGGGCTTAGGTTCAGGGAAAATATTGTGATTCAATTCCTACCGTCAAGTGACTATGCAGTTGCCTTGGACTTCCCTTGCTGGTGCTTAAGGGAGCTGGATCCCTACAACGATCCCCATGTTCCCCTGAAAGAGTACCTACATTCAACTCCCCCCCACTCCCTCAAACCACCAGTAAGTTCATGGAGTATCTATGCTCACCCCAACCCCCTACTCCCATTCAAGCACCACTACGTTCCAGGAGGTTCATAGCCGAAAATCCTCCTTCTATCGGCGGTCCTTCACTTCGCCTGGCTTCGTCCGGCCTAGGTGCCAGTTGCTGGCTGCTGAGTCATTGCAGATTTGGGACATAGGAAGGCGATGGGAACCCTAGGTATCCATGAAGATTACAAAGGGATTATGGGGTGTTGATTTGGGATTCTCTTGCGGATCTTGCGAAAGCACGATAAGCGCAACCTCACGACTGGAAATCGTGAGGAGTGATGACACTCGGACCCGTGTGCTGGTGTTGACAAGGCCGGCCTGGTTGCCGATGTCAGTCAAGCATGGCAGGATGTACCCAACTAGTATTAATACTCGTAGTAACAGTTGGATAATAAGTATAATGTGGTTATATATAGGACCCCTAATATAGACTGGTACTGAGTGGGGGCAGTAGGATTTATGAGGTGTGTGCAGGAAGGTGAGCCCGCATGGCCTATTGCTCCCATCTTTTCATGGCCAGTCCTGCCTGAAAGTAAGACACCCTCAGAGTCAATGATGCTAGCGATACCAACACCTTCAACTCAAGCAATGCAAAAATAGTAATAATAGTGATGACAGTAAACTCAGTAAACATAATTATACTACTAGTAGTACCAATACTACTAATAATGGATTACGGGGGTTTTGGAGGACCACTGTAAGCACTCCGAATGAAAACCGAACCCCACAACCTGAACCTCGCTGAAGCGCCAATGCCTGAGCCCTATTTACTGTTACTACGAGTAGTAATACGAGTTGGGTACTGCCCAGTAACAGTCTATATTAGGGGTCCTATTAAGGGCTATATATACCCATATTATAATTATGATCCAACTGTTACTGACGGGGGGCAGTACCCAAAATACTCTTATTTGCCCTACTACTATTGCTTTTAGTACCACGATTACTATTATTACTGAAACCCTAGTGCCGATTTCTGGACTGGTCTTGTTTGTGAGTCGAAATTGCACTTAATGAGCCCTTTTCTGATCTGCGACCGGACTCCTAAACCCTAAACCCCTAGAACCTCAAACTCCAGGGGAACTCGTGGCGATGTTCAGCCCTTCGTTGCCTTGGCACGTGGGCTGATTCTGTCCCTTGGCACGAACTGAAGGATGAACATTTGAGCCGAGGTTTAAGTTTTAGGGCTGTATGCAGTTTCATGATATGATACCCCAATAATGGAGAATCAAATGGAAAATGAAACGGAAACAGCTGTATAAAGGTTATATAAGGATTGTATGACCTATAGTCTAATCTCCTGAAAGAGGGTTATATAGGGGATTATATGGGGGACTACTATAGGGGTTATTAAGGGGGATACAAGGAGTTTAGATTGGGTACTGCCCCCACCCAGTAACAGTCTATATTAGGGGTCCTATTCAGGGCTATATATAACCATAGTATATTTATTATCCAACTGTTACTGAGGGGGGGCAGTACCCAAACCCTAAACCCTAAACCCTAACCCCCCAAACCCCAAACCCTAAACCCTAAACCCTAAACCCTAAAGTTTAGATTATAGCTGCGTTGCTTAGCTGGACCTTGCTGTGTTGAGTGGTGCCTAGGTACCACAACTGTGAGGTGACCATATGCACCGAGCTCCTTGGATGGGGAGGGTTCAGGGGTTTAGGGTTCTAGGAGTTTAGGGTTTAGGGGTTTAGGGTTTAGGGGTTTAGGGCTTAGGGTTTAGGATTGAGGAATTAGAGTTTAGGATTTTGGGTTTAGGGTTTAGGATTTAGGGTTGACGGATGACTGTCATGCATTCTTGTGTAGACAGCGCCTTGATCTTCTGCAAGGCTCGCGTGGAAGAGCTTCATCAAAGAATTCCGAGACGGGCTCCCGAAGGCGGTCTCAGAGTAGAAAAAGCATTGCAAGCTGCTTCGATGCCAGTGTGTGCGTTGCTTTGATCGTGGCCTCTAACCCTAAATCCAAACCCTAAACCCCTAGAACCCTAAACCCTAAATCCAAACCCCTAAACCCCCAAACCCTAACCCCCTAGAGCCCTAAACCCTCAATCCAAAGCCTAAACAGGGCACCTTGCTCTTCCGGCCATCGGGTGGTGACACCATGATGCAGACGCGGACTGCTATTCGGTACCCCAGTGGTACCCTTTTTCCCTTTTTGTTTGGGGGGGTTTAGGGTTTAGGGTTAGGTACCCCAGTGGTACCCTTTTCCCCTTTTGATGTGGGGGTCTCCTTATTCAAGCTTAATAGTAAGGGAAAAGGGTACCCTTATCATGAAGGGGTTACCGGGGAACCTAGGCTATAAGCCAGCTGATCACCTGGGAAGGTCAGCACTATGCCCGGATCTCAGCCATAGAAATGGTTTAGGGTTTAGGGTTTAGGTATATGGATAATGCCAATGATACTAATGATGATTATGGTTGGGCTTATCAGTCTTAGAGAGATATTGAGAGAGAGATAGAGAGAGCGCGAGCGCAAGAGCGAGAGAGAGAGAGAGAGAGACTCGTTGCTCCCGACCAGACAACCTGCGGACATCAGGGCTCAGGGCAGTGCCCTGACCTAACCAAGGGGGGTAGGTTTAGCCCGTAGCAAGCAAGCAAGCAAGCTCTTCAAATTAGTAGTTTCCATCTAATTTTCCAGCTGATTCTCCACTATCCCTATACAACCCCTATAGTATATCATCCCTAGATAACCCATATACTACCCCATATTATCCCTATATAATTCGGAAGGTTTGCAGATTGCGCAGTCAATTGAGGACTTCTTGCAATCCCTGATCTTCTCTGCACAGGAGACCTGCAAAGCTCATGGACGATCTAGGGTTTAGGCCAAAGGGCCCTAGGGTTATATTGGGATGAAATGGACAAAAATGGATTATATAGGGTTTACTTAAACTCTAAATCCTTGCGCAGGAAAGGAACTTCTTTCCCTCCGAAGGGTGCTTCTACCACTACGCAGCGGAAGAGAGGCGGCTGAGGGAGTAGATTTGATGTTCTTGGGGGTTCCCCCTATATCCCTATGTCATCCCGATACCATCCCCACATTACCCCTACCCTAGACATGGAACCCTAAACCCTAAACCCGTATGAGCTATAGTCTGAACTCCTAGTATCCCCCTTACTGAACCCTATAATACTCCCCCATATACCCCCATTTTATGGGGTTTAGACTAGCTCATATGGGTGGTTCTCAAAATTTTGGTCCCTTTTTGGGGTACCCTAAATATTAGGTGCCGTATTATAATAGGGACCCCAAAAAGGGACCATGATTTTGACAACCACCCATAGAAGATAATCTGCGAATAGTTTCTTTACCAACCCGGGAGCTTATCCATGCAACGCGCATCCATTTCGCGAGCACTGCTTGCACCGTTGGTGTCCCTGGTTCCTAGTAGTTTCCCTTTTCTTTTCCGATGTCAGCTATAGTCTAAACTCCATAAAGTGAGTTATATAGGGGATTGTATAGGGGACTACTATAGGTAAAATTAAGGGCCATACTAGGGATTTAGGCTATGGCTCGTGTTCCTATACAACCTCGATAGATCCCCTATAATGTTTATACAACCCCTATAAATCCCCTATATAGACTTTATACAACCCCTATAGATCCCCTATATAGACAGTATACAACCCCTATAGATTCCCTATATCAACCTTCTACAACCCCTGTAGATCCCCTGTACATACGGTATACAGCCCCTATAGATCCCTATATAAACTTTCTACAACCCGCTATGTTCTGCTTGCTGCAGTCTCGCCAGGCCAGACTTTATCGTCTTCGGCTTCACTGTGTGTCACCTAGCGACTCGCTCTGCAGTAGTCTTTAACATATCATTTTCTCCTAGGGTTTAGGGTTGAGGGTCTTGATTTTTTAGAACTTGATAGATGGAAGATACATAATCTTACTGGTCCAGTCACCGAAAGCGCGAATTGTTACTAGTGTTCTCGTTGTTTGGTATGTTCCACTGTTGCTATTGTACGTGTTTTCTGCTAGTAACAGGGCCAGTATCATTGTTAGTATGCTTCATCATATTACTAGCATGATGATTTCTGCTCCAAACTCTTAGCCAGCTTCAATCTCAGGCCATGCTTATCAGCGAGGCCCGTGTCTTCCTTCACAGCATTTCTAAGTTTAGGCAATGGGTGTGTTATATAGGGTTATGGGTTTAGGGATAGTATCGCAGCAACGCAAAATCAAATGGATCAGAACATAGAAAGATAAGATAGGAGGTAAGATGATGTAGTGGTTGACAGGGTTTTGGGTTTCCAAATTAGCTCTCAGTTTCTTGGGGGAAATAACAAGGGCTACATATTAGGGTCCGTTCTCATTGTGGATTACCCCTCAACTGCTGTAGGAGTTTAGGGTTTTCCATTATCCCTATATAACCCCAATATACTATATAGTGATTTCCATTTTCTTTTCCATTGTCCCTATATAATTCCAATAGAGTGTTTTTGTCTCCACAAAAGACTACCAAACTCTTGGCCCTCCTAAACCCGAAATCCTACATAGCATTGTACTCTACTGACCATCAGTAAAAAGAAAAGTATGGGGTGGTAAGAATCAGAATAGAAATTCAAGTTCAAGTTTTGGCTTCCCGGAGGCTCAGCGCATCCCAATCGTCGGCTTCATCTGTCAGCCGGACCATAAGATTGAGGCTGGTTGCCAAAGCAACCCAGGGAAGCCGCAAACTAGTACTGGAAACCCCTGCACTTTGAAACCTTGCCGTCTGCCTACATAACTTTGCGGTACCCCCATTCTCCATTCTCGAGAAACCCTACACCTTAACCGTTGGCCTGCATGTCCCCCTTCGAGGAGCGCGGTGACATGTCCACCCAACTTGACCAGCTGTTAGAGCCCACGCGCCAGGCCTCTAAGAAGTTGGGGCGTTCTCAAACTCGGGGTAGTAGGGTTAGGTAGGGATTACAAGATTGCGCAAAAGGGATGTGTAGGTTGGGGCTTCCAGCTTCACAAAACAGAGTCGGGGGGTAGCAAAGCACATGTAAATGTAGAGCTTACAAGGGGTATGTAGCCAAGGCGCACCCCTCCCGCGCCCTCCCCTTCCTGTGGGGGATCTGGGTTGTGCTTCTTGGAGACCTTAATATAATCACCATTATTCCTTTTAGACACTACTATTGAGTTCGGGGTCCACCTAAGAAATGATATACCTGCAACTTGCATTGTGCCTAGGTCATTCAGGTCATTACCCCTCTCCCGTGTGTAGTGTGGTGGCTTGGTTCTGGGCTGTGTTTGGGGGTAATGCACTCAACCTGCATTTTATTGATTGGGTCCCTACCCCGCCCAGTGATGTGTTGGATGTCCCCCTATGATGTGGATCGTTGCTGTCCTCCGAATGTGTAATCATTCTTTGTTGCTAAAGCCCGAAACCCTAAACTCCCCTGTAGTTTGGGTGGTTGCTTTCCTTCAATAGACTGTCGTCATTCTTTGTTGCTGAAATCATTCAGGTCCTCTACAGGGCGACGGGCTATTACAGTTGGGGTAGGCAGCACCCATCTGGAACTGTCTACATGTTGCAGCAATGAAGCATGGAGTTCTTCAGGTCGTTCAAACCTTCCCCCTCGCCCCTGTGGTGTGGGTAGTCTTCTCTCACAGCCACTGGCATACAAGCACGAAAAGAAGACAGGCTATGAACTCTGAAGGCTTCAATGCGGCGCTTATGAGTGTCATGCAGTGCCACGGTGGCAAAAGCCAGCATGAGGAACTCAACCCCCCTCACCCCAGAAACCGTGGAAGCCCCTATGAGCTATGGTCCCGTAAAGGGGGGGGATAAAGGGGCTTACGTAGAGAACTATTATAAGGCTTAGAAAGGGGGCTACACGACAGCTCATATTGGTCTAAGGTTGAGGGTTTTAGGGCTTAAGGTCTAGGATTCCCTCCAAAGAACGATAGAGGCTCCAATGAAAAGTCAAGCGAAGTGACAGGGAGTCTAAGATCATGCAGGGTTCACCTCCAAAAAATAAACCTCCCCCTTCCCAAAGATCCATACTTCGAAAATGGGAGGTCATTATACAAACTGGGTAAGTGGGGGGTTGACTCTTTGAGGGGAGGAGTTTCCCAAAAGCTGGCTTGGTCTGCTGGAGTAAACGTGGCTACCTTCCGTGTGGGTACAATCGCTTATCTAAGTTTGAAATCACGGGCCCCTAGCATGGGCCCTTAACGCTATACCTACTATATACCTTATATGTACCCTGAAGGCTCATGCGACTTCCCCGAAAACGCCTAAAGGCCCATGTTCAGGGCCCATACTTCGAACCTTAGAACTTATACTTTGTAAAGTTTCGTGGCGTGAAGAGACCCTGACCCTGAACCCTGAAGCCTAAAACCTGAAC